TAAAAAACAAAAGTACAGGGTTAAATAAAAAACTGAGAAGTTACAGTACTAAAAGAAAATATACTAGAGAAAAGAAAATTTAAAAGTTTTCTGAGAAGTAATGAGACTTAGTAAAATAATAATAACTCTTTACATTCACAGCCTGATCCAGCAATAATGATTTTATTATCTCCTGCAAGTTTGCTAGTTTCTTTCACCATCTGTATTCTCTCCTCCCAAGTTAAGAAGCAGCATTCTCCAGTGGAACCTTGAACAACATAACCTTTGAAGGAAACAAAATATGTCTGAACAAAAATGTCAGTTACATAGCATAGTTAGTTAAGTTCTCCTTTCAGACCTTGAGATTTATAATGCAGATGATGTAACAGTCATCTGTTTCTTTGGTGCTTGGTTAACGAGGGTGTTGTGGCCAACACAAAGACCAAGTGCCTTTATTTTTCCCCAGCTAATGTCAAGTACCGATAAGAGCTGGGTGGAATCAGAGGCGCCCTAAAGGTCACAAAATTAGAAATCCCAGTCTTCACCAATATTTGAACCCAGCATCCCCTGGTTTGAATGCCAACTGCTTCACTACTCAGCCACCAGATTATAATTCAAGATACATGTTATAAAAGAATGGAAGAATATTATTAGTTTTCATTGTGTTTTAACTTACTCCATAAATAAATAAAAATACTCATAACAATGTATTTATAATAAATAATAACTTTTTTTTATAGATCAAATACTTTATATAGAAATAATTTGGAGTCTCAGAACAAACTTTAAAAATAGCAATTGGTACTAATGTGGAGCATAAATATGCTTAGTAAAACTGACAGTATGTGCTTTGTTTTTTAATTCTGGTTCTGAAATAAATTATGCTTGCTATCCTAAAGTTCACTTACCTTTAAACAGAATGTTGTTCCATTTTTCCATATTTAATTCTAATTTGTCAAAAGCTATTGATTCATCTTTGTTGAATGGAGTAGGTATAGGTGGAAATATTCCAGATATATCCAAGGTCTTTAGTGAAGCAGTTGAGCTAAAACTTCGACTCAGTGAAAATCTGGGATGTTCTTTGGTTAATACTGAAATTTTAGCAAATACATGCTGCAAATAAAAAGAAAAAAATTACTATATTTTTTAATGACATTATGTATTATAAAATTCTGTGTGTAATACAAAACACATAACCAATCCATATATAATTATTGGATAAACTGAGTTTTATTAATACCAAACAACAAACCTTAGCTTGCCTCACTTTACTGGCAATAAATATTGCTCTTATTGGGGACATCTTGTAATTCTGTCCAGAGAAATCAAAACAAAATATTAGGCTATTTACAAATATAAGCTTACTTGTTTTAATGAATTACATATGTTACAAATATACTTTGCTAAGCAGTCTGTTTTTCTCAATGAAAAATATGACTGCATACAATGAGTTCTTTTTGTTTTGCATTTTAGCAAATCTATTTCCCCTCTATGGATGTTTCTACCTTGATTCCATGTTATTGATGGGAGATGAACATAAAATTATTCTGTGAATATTTGTTTCAGAAAAAAAAAAAATATTTGACATAAAACATAATTTAAATCATAACAAGGCGGATGTGATGGCTAAAATCAAAAGTATTAGCCTGGAAAAAAATCCATTTACTGATCACAGAGCCTAGAAGGAAAATATTTCCTCAGGATCTCATTTTCATGTACACCCATATGTTGTGGAGGTTCGTCATATGCAACCTAGATTCTGTTCACGCCTCCCATCTTTATTAGTAGATTAATCCATTCCTTTACAAGTTTTTCATTTCTTACTTTATATTTAAACTCCCTCGAAGTCTTCTTTCACAATGTGCCCAAACAAAAACTATTCCAAGCATCTGATGCTTTAAAATGCATAGGACCAAGTAGCTCCTGTTTGTCAACTAAACTTATTATCTGCAGAATGAAAGTCAATGTCTATACATGCGTCTTCTTTTCCTAGACTTGACTCTAAATATTTGAGTTATCTTCTTCTAGCATTTAGCTGTGAAGAATTAAGTTTATGCACCACCTTGTCATCATCACTGAGGATTGATGAGTTTGGTATTAAATTGTTATCTTCCTTGATATTTATTTCAAGTTGCAATATCAAGTAGGCTACATTCTGAGACACCCATCTTTGTAATTAGACTGTATTTTCAATAGGATCTAGACTTAAAGGTGTGAAAATATAAGCTTAGGAAAAAAAAGGAATCAAGGAGTGTCCAACCTAGGACCAATGAGAGTCCAGCCCAAGATTAAAGAAAATCCAGCCTAGGGCCAAAGAGAGTTAAATTCTGCCTAGGACCAATGAGTGTCCAGCCTAGGACCAAAGAGAGTCCAGTCTAGGACCAAGTCACCATCAAGGAGAGTCTAGCCTAGAACCAAAGAGTGTCCAGCCTAGGACCAAAAGAGTGTCCAGCCTAGTAGGCCTACCAAGCTAGCAAGCTCATCAAAAAAAAAAAAGTCTAATAAGCTACATGAGGACTCAAGTCAAAATATAAGTAGTCTACATCTTGTCTATAACTACTATTACTATAAGTTTTAGAAGCACCTCTAGAGTAAAAAGATATTTTCACCATTTCTGCAAATAAAATGAATCATTATTTTTTTTTAATGAATTCAACACAATATAATAATCTTATAAATTACAGACGTTGCTTCAAAACAGATGATTACGTCCTAAGCGTGTCCTTGTGCCAATTTAATCTAGCCAAGTTATTGGATTTCCTTTTGATATCCTCTATGCCTTGCACATCGAATCATAATACAATATAGATCTGCAGGCGTCATAAATTAATAAATAATATAGAATTCTAGTTCTAGTTACTATATCTATATACCTTGCACAAAGTGTCAGAACTTCAAAGAACAATATCACAATTATTTGATCAAAAAACTAGATCTATTCAACAAAAAAACAGTAGCGGTTATGACTTCAAAGTCCTATCTATGCATTATAGGGTATACACTTTATACAGTATTTGTAAGCATATCATCTAAGAGTCCATATTATCTCGTGTCAACAGTTAGATGACTTTGTAATCGTATTTAAATTTTTTAGGTCTCACTGACCTTAGCCTTACATGACCCATTCTTTTTTCCCCTCCCTTTGGTCCCATAAAACTACTGCTATGCCATATACATGACTGTGAATATTAGGCCTAGTATACTGATAGCAACCTACAGCACACACATACACAATAACAAATATGAAATTATGCTAGGCTATTGTTAATGCGGGGAGGGTTTACAGGGGAGAACAAAAATCAAGGGAAAGCACTCTTGAAAGCTGTCTTGAATACTACTAACGTATCTATCTACCTTGAAGTAAAATAGTTCTACAGAAGAACACACTTCTAAACACAGTAGAGCTGAAGTGCAACGCTCTATTGGACACGTGACTTTGATATGTGCCTACGCTCCTACTTTGAGTTCCATACCAGAGGCCAAAGACATGTTAATGAAAACCTTTCTGTCTGCTCTCAACGAGATCCCAAATACGGAACAGGTTATCATCCTCGGTGACCTCAATGCACGCGTTGGATGGGACAGCTGTATTGGGTGCTTTGGTGTCGGAAAAATAAATGAAAATGGACAAAGGCTCCTTGAGGTTTGCTCACTACACTCCCTCTGTGTCACTAATACCTATTTCAAGACTAAACCACGGCATAAAGTTTGGCCATTACACATAAAATATATATTCATACCATTTTCGCTCAAACATTACATCGAAGTTGGATTGTATTTAGTGATTTGACTGGTGTCTTAAAAACTCAAAGATTTAGCATTTCATCAACTGAGTGAATGTTTAATGCAGACTGAATTTAGTGTACCGAAGTTAATATTCTTTTGATCATAGTTCAATCTTCATTTTTGCAGTTATCAATTCTCTGTCTGCAATTTATACACATTTATACAATTTCATATATGCACTCACGCTAATACTATCAACATTTGATCACACAAAATTATGACGAAGACAAAAGACTTTTCTTTTTTCCATGTGCAAGTACCAGCTTTATTTCTGACTGGACATCAAATAAGGAGTGGCTCACAAGGAAACATGCTAAGTCACATTGACAGACATGATAACAAATTAAAGTAAATATATAACAGACATTAAAGAAGTAGCTGATACAGAAGCCTTAATAACTCATTAAACATGAAGATAAATATGTCTTAAATGAGTTAATTTAAATGATAAGTACCCGGTAATTAATTATTCATTTTGTATATGAACAAAATAAACAAAAAAATTAGTTCTTTTATAATTACCTTGCAAATGGTGGGTAAAACAAATATTTAGATAAACAGAAATAACATCTGTAACTGAGATGTTCCCTTACAAGCCATTTCTACACATTAATAAAGATTAGGATGTTTTCACACATCACAGCTTTGGAAAACAAAAATGTGCATTTTTTATTTTTACTTAAACATGAAAAAAAAAAAAAAAAAAAAAGCATGTGGGTCACAGCAAAAGGAACTTTACTTCTAATAAAAGGCAATAGCTGTAATGTTTCTTTTCCCATGATAACTTATTAGACATAGTAAATTGTATACTATAAAAATTAATGTATACATTTTTATTTTTTGCATCCAGGGCAGCTACAAGGACGCAATTAAAAATCATATAAAATATAATACTCAACAGTCACAGCTGTTAGATTACTCTCCTCTTGATCATTTCAATATGTTCATGTCTAAGCTCAGAAATATAGGGACTTAACAAAAAAAAAAGCCGCCTAATTATGCTGTGCTTATGTCTTTAGCTGTACATACTGTATCAAATGAAATATTAATCTTACAGTAGCTTTACTTGGCATTACAAAAAATTTAGAAAATAAGATGAGCTTACACTTAGACTGGAACATATTGAAACTGTTAAAAATTATATTAAATATTTAAAAAAGAACACATATGCACATATCACTGTCAGCAAAGATCAATAAACATCTTTGCTTTAATCAATAGCAAACACCATGATACAAAAAAAAAAAAAAAACAACTTGACAATAAAAAAGCTAATTAATAAACAATTTATTAAATGATGAAAAAAAAAAGATCTGATAATATCTTCAATGGCAGACTTATCTTCTTTCTATATTCATTAAATAAAAGTAAATGCATAATACAACATCTCTATCCTCATCAACAGCAAATGTTGGGCTATGAACTATTACAAAATGTTGTTCACCGATAAATAAGAAAATAATGGACAAAACAAAAAGACAGCACAAAGTCACTCCTCATTTATTCAACACATCTGGCCAATACCCCAGGATATCACATAGTCTCACACTCAAACAAAGTAGTGTGTAGCAAGACTGAGGAAGAAGACCAGATTTTTAACAGAATTTCTTATTCAGCAAATGTAATTTGTGTATTGCAAAACAAATAAACAATTTACACTTGTTTACAAAGAAAAACCTAAAAAATTATTAAATAAACAAAGCAATTTAACATACAAAATAATTAAATAATTATTTTTGCTACAGAAATATGTAATAAGTAACAATTTAATTTTTTTCTCCAATTCAATATTATAAATTTTCTTATAATTAAGACTTCAAAAAAAAAATCTAATCCCCTTCTTTTTATAAAAGAAAAAAGTTTATATGATACAAAAGCCTATAAATATGATTCCTCTAGTCTGTCTCTCTTTCCTTGATCAGTGTGAGGCTATGACATTTCCTGGGCACCAGTGTTACTTAATCATAATGCGAAGGTACTGTAGAGCGTTGTGAGCTGCATTGGCATGTGCTTCATCCATGATGGGTCCAGTCCCTTGGCACACTGCTAAAGGTGTTGTAGAAAGCTGTACCAAACACTGGTTTAAGCCTAGTAGTAAAGAAACAAAAAAAAGCGTGAAAAGCTAATAGCATGCTTAGTTCTTTAATTTTTTTTCTTTTGTTATGACAAGGTAGAGCATCTACAATAGAAATATAATATGGAAAAAAAAACATTTTAGTTTTAAAGTTACCAAAGTTTAAAATAAAGCATTTAAAACAAATATTTTTTGGGCAATGCCAAGTGATGTTTATCTCTTAAGTTCAAGGAGAATTTAAGAATTCTCTTAGATAACAACTGAAGAAAATAAAGAGTAACAGGTCCTTGTGATTAACACAAAATAAATACACTGCTTTTCATGCTTGACTGCACATTGAGTTAACTTAACTCATAATAGCGAGTGGATGTTAGTTTGCGAAGCAAAGAATCTTGACTTTGAAGCACATTGTGCAAACAAATGCACTGATCAGCAGGAAAAACATTTGAAGGAGGAGTAAAGCATAAAATATTTTAAGGAGGAGTCAAGAATAATAGTAGCATCTAGAAAAGTCTCTATGGGAGATTATAAAAGCAAGACAAGGTGAGATTTTGGGAGCTATTGTTTACTGTTTGTTGTTCATTGTAAGTTATTTCAGGTACACTGCAGTTCACTCTTACAATTACTCAAATCATATACTGTCAGTCAAGCTGCCTAGTTGTATTGAAATTTATATAATTTGCTTATGTGATTTTATTTCATTTAAACTTATTATCAGTAGACTCTATATATACATTTTCTGCAATAGAGTTTGAAGTAATTAAACTCTATTTAATTTAATTTTAACGCTAATATACTTAGGTATATCATTAGCAAATGTGTTTTGAATTGAGGGATAGTAACTAGTTTTATTATAAATATGACAACTCTAAAAAAAAAAAAACTATGCCAGTGTTCAATGTAAATGTGAACTTACCCATTACACTTTCATCTTTAATATCAAAATATTGTACTTCAAATCTCTGAACTTCAGCAATTTCTTGAAGCATCTGGCAATAGTTGGTAGGAGGGGTCAGATTCTGATTTTGACCCCTTACCTGCTTCCCTGCAGCAGCCATTACTTTTTCGTAGAATCGATGAATTTCAACAGCAGATTGAGAGTTGGCTAGCTTTGATTTCTTCTTAGACTGTTTCATTCCAGTATAAGTAGAATTCTCAAAACCCTAAAAATACACAATAATAAAATACACAATAATAAATTTCTCTTCTTCTCGCTTTAAAAAGGATTTTTTTTTTTAAATGTAAATAAAAAGCATATAGCTGCAATTTACCTGATTAAGAAAATACCCTAAAAACCCTAAAATGAACTCCTTTTTAAAATAATGTATAAAAAATAGTATAAAACATTCTTGTTTTTCTATGAAGTTTACAATATACATAATACAATAAGAGAACAAGATATTAATGACGATCAGGATTTCTACTTGGGTAATTTGTACAAGATTCATTCTTTCTGTTCAATAACAAATAATACAGCAGGTAGTTTCAAAAACTTTAAAATCATTTTTATAGAAATGTATACTTTCTTTGTTTTCTCTTTCAAACATAAATTTGCAATGATTATTAGCTAAGGATACATAATCTTTACTAATGGTTAGAAGAGTTGGTTTCATGTGCATTTTCTTCTATTGGACAATGCAAAATAAATACTAGAGGAAAATTAAAGGCTACTATATGCACTATATCATGATTATAAAACAACAAAAGGAAACTTAGATGAAATTCAAAATTTAACTTTTTAGAGTGACAAATATCCACACGACAAACTAATATAATCAATACAACCCTAAAAAATCTATAAAAAATATCTATCAGGCCATATTAACTAAAAAGCTTAGCTTAAGATTTTAAACAAAATTAAATGAGTGACACGTGTAAAACGTTTAAAAATACATTTATCACCAGCGGTATCTCTTCATCCTCATCAGAATCTTCAAGCTGTTTTTCTGTCTCTTTATTCTGAGACAATGCTTTAAGTTGAGCCAACATATTTGCTGCGGCTGTTCGTTTCGCTGTTTTCTTAGAACGTCCAGTACCTGAAATAAAAAAATATTTAGAATGCAACTTAGGTTGTAATATGTGTAAGGAATTTTTTATTCTGTAAAGATATTTTTAATTTAATATGCTGATTGTTTATAATATTTTTTTTGTAACAATGATAATGTAAATGAGATACTAAATCTTTGAATAAATTGTATTTCAAAGAAACCTAAGTAAAGCACCTTTGTCAACAAACTTTCCCAATTTGATGTTGCAGATAAATTCTCTGGCATGTGGAGGACCTTGCTCTGTGACAAAATCATAATGAGGAGGTTTCAATAGTTTTTTCTGTGTGATTTCCTGAAGCTCTCCTATAGGATTACCAATATCATCATCTTTCTCTGTTGTTGTGTTAGTTGTAGATCTAAGCAAACAAAAGAAGAAAAAAATATTTTAACAAATTAACATTTATCTGATAATAAAATCACTTTCATAAAGTTAGAGAAAAAAAAAGGCAAAATAACTTTAAAAGGTTAGATTTAGTCTTCTTTTTTCTTTGTTATCATTTATATGTTGGAGGGTTCAGACAACTAGTCATATTATCTACAATGAACTGTGCAGAGGTTCCCAGATCTGCAGCTTCTCATAGAGTTTTGCAACCACAGTCTTGTTAGGGCCCTTTAAATAAAGAATGTAGCGTGGAAAGACATGGTTGGCATTCTCTAGTGGGCAGATCTCACTAGTCCTGTTTTTTTTTTTTAAAGTTTATTTTGTTTCATTTTGTTGTGTCCAGTTCTGACATATTATATATGTTGGTCATGTCGGGACAGCTTGTAATTGGCATTGTTATTCTTGAAGTTTGGGTGAGAGCTGGTCCATTTCTTATTCAATCTACTCTTTTTTTTTACCTACCTGGTTGAGAAGGATTTTTAATTGTTTAGTCTTCTAGATTAATCTTTGGTCAATTTGTCTGCCTTATAATTCAATGTGGCTGGGAGGACAGTTTCCTTGCTGTTTCTAATTGAGATTTCAGTTTTTAACGCCTAGCAAGTATGCCCTGGGGTAAATCAGGAAGACAATCTGGCTTTTCAGCGTGCTTAGGTGGTTTATTAGTGTGGTAGCTGCTACCTGTAGTGCTCCTCTTTCTGCTCTGTGTCTGAGAGATCACCAGTTGCAATTGACTTTTCCAGTCTTTCTCCTTTGGACCATTCAATTAGTAAGCCAGCCCCCAGTTTGTTTTGGATTCTAGAGATAATCCATGTGTAGACTCTGACCCATTGATTTTTGGGGTAATGAGCTCACTAATTCCCTTAGTTCTGTTTGATTGTGGGCAGATTTTTTTTTGTAATGTTTACATTAATGTTTCTTATAGAAGGAAGAGAGCTTAGATCCCAGTGTGGTAATTCATTATGCTGGTTCAATAGTTATGTTTTCTAAGTAATATTTCTTTCTTGTCCTATTTATAAGAATTTATTTTAAATTGGAAAATAAATATGTAATTATGTTATTACAAGAGAAAGGCCCTAAAAAAGTGAAAAAAAAAAATATTATTATTATTATTATGTTACTTACATATCTTGCTTAACTTCTTCGGGTCCATTAGAAGTGACTCCCATGAGTGTATTCAGTGCATTTTGTGCTGCAGCATGCTTTGCTTTCTTTTTACTGGAACCTTAAAGCAAAAACATTTTTTTTAAATGTATTCAATTATTAAACTATTATATGTTGGGATATCTGCTGCTAAATTTGTTTATTTAAACAAAACTTAGCTGGGACACAACCACTTTACAAGTAAAACAATAAAAAGAACAAAAATATTCTAAATCCTTTTTACAGCATATTTTTTTATATTAATTATTACTTTTAAAAAAAAAACATTTATTAAAATAATTAAATGGTTACAAGATCTATGGATAACAAGGTGAGATTTCTGGCGCTAAACTATTAGTTGGTTTACTATTCTGAAAAATATAATATGCCAGTATCTTAGAATCTAAGCATTAAGAAATATTGCAAAATGATACTATCAATATTTACTAAATAAATAAAAAGAAAATTGTATATAACATAAATTTTTAACTTAATGACTTCATTCAAAACATGTATACAAATTCAAAAACATTGTTTAGTACCTTTTCCAGTTGCTACAGCAAAATCACCAACAGTTACCCGCATTATAAATATAGGCTCATGCACTGCTCCTTCATTGGCAATGAGATCATACTGTGGTGTTATAGCATGTTTAGTAGCATACTCTTGTAAGTAACTGATTGGAGTTTTTCCTGGTGGTACAGCCATCTGATAATAGTAACAATAGTATATATTATATGTATGTATATAAATGTATGACCTTGTGATCTATAGGGCAGATGATGTAAAAGGCATCTGTGTCTGTGAGAGGAGACATGATATTAGTAGTGCGAGAGTGTTTTCCTTTTTATTTGCTTGTGTTAATGCAGAACAATTAAAATGTGTATACAGTATATAATGTACTTATGTAATGTTCTATGTTTTGTAGCAAAAATAAGGCCCACAGCTTAAAGGTGGACATACTGTATTGTTATAGTGTTAGAGACGTATGAGCCTGTTATAATGAGATTTTATAGTCTACCCTTAACGCTAAGGGCCCCGCACATCATGCTTGCCCAGGGCCTCACGCACTGCTAAGGCTGCCCCTGCTTCATACTATGAGATAGATGTCGATCTATATGTTATTGTGAGTGTATATTTTACCAGATGATC